ACTCATGTCAGCCGTCCCTTCCACTCGGCTGTGAAAAAGCCGTTGTGGCAGATATGGATTAGCGTCAGAGCATTGCAGTGCAGGTATTACACGTCTCTGTTGGCACTGCCAGCGCTGCGCCACGACTGCTAATAACCTCTGTTGTCTTGTGTCTTCCGAGCGCCACTTGGTGAACGTTTGGGACGGCTGTTTTGTACCGGCGCCAGTCGTAATGCCCGGGCTTCCTGGCAGATCAGAGTTTGTGGAGGTAGAGGTTGTATTTGGATGGCGGAGAGGGGGGAGGAGGTTGGGGAGAAAAGAGATAGAGCGAGGTTGTCAAAACAACTTCTCATTCCCCCCTCAGCTGCCTTCTTTCCATCTCTTCTTCTTCTCCACCTTGCTGCCAAAAGTCGGAGGAGATCAAAGGAGGCCAACATGAAAGGAATCCCTGAGATTCTGTTTTCAGTGCCCTGTCTCCCTGCTCTCTGTGTTATAGATATGGAAATGCTGAATCCCAAATACAACTTGTACCTCGGCTGCAGAGAATGCCCGGCCTCATCTGAGTTTCTCTCTCTCTCTCTCTCTTTTCCTTTTGCTTCTTCTGCTATCCCGCGCCTCGTCTCACCCCTTCATCATCATCTCTCACCATCCCCTGCTCTTGCCTCTCTCCAGCAGCCCTCAGGCTTCCAGGTAGATAGCGCTTGATTGGCAGCTGCTGTGACAGTCAGTGGAACCGTCTGAGAGTGGATAAGTGTCAGCCTTGCTCCAGGGGCTTAAGGCAACAGCAATGTTGTAGCTCCCTGCTGGTGAGAGAGAGGCCCATGAAATAAGACTCAGTCAGTTCTTCTCTTTTCCTCGCCTCTCTCAACTGAAGCAGGTAGGAGCTAAATAGGTTTTTCAAATCGCTCCACAGTTTATCCCGAGACTGGAAACTGGAACATTTCTTCAGCTCACATCCTGTAATGTGCGCTCTTTCTCTCATTCCTCTTTTTCCCACCTTTGGTTTTGATATAAATGTGGGTTTTATTGTAGGTTGTAGCATCTTGTTATTCAGAGGCTCTTTAAAATTCTCTCCCTCTGCCTCTCTCCCTCCCTCCTATCTGTTCTGAATCCACAGCCTCAGCTGTCACGCCACTTGACAATTAGCCATGCTGTTCCCGTCTGTGCATCACTAAAAAAAAACAAAAAAACTTTTTCCTCCTTTTGAAAAACTTCTGAATACAACTCAACACCCGCTGTACAGCAGCCACGGGGGGAACGTGTGAGAATAAAAAAATTGAAACGTGAAATCGTCTCAGTTCTAAAGTGGCTGTGACCAATTCCCAGATGGAGGGAAAGCGTTTTGTGATGGCTTTCACTGTGTTGCCGCTCGAGCTCTGTCCTGTCAACAGCAAGAATTGCGTCACTTTTCCCTCTGGCCAAGTGTGCCCTATTCTCCACAGCGCAGACAGAGGACAGGATGGCGATGGAAAAAAAGCTCAGAGAGAGGAAAGAAAGGGAGGACGCTCTACGGGGTACCTCTCAAAAAAATCTGGCTGCCCTCCTCCAAAGACACTGCAGATGTGTATTGATGGTAACTGTGGCAGTCAAACAAAGGTTTAGGTCCTTTCCAGCTCCTTCTCCCACACCTTGTTTGTATGTTTTGGTCACAGCAACAAACAACTGCCTTCAAATATTGCTCTTGTGGAAATAATAGTGTCAGAACTGCAACCTGACACTTGTTTGGAATCCAGAACGGAAGGAACTTTTACGTTTTGGCTCGTAAATTAGATCCGTTGTGGACTTATAGTGTTATGATGTAAATTGGTGCAAAAGACTTGATATATTAAGAACAGAGCAACACCCATAGCAGCTCCTTCTCTCTTTCCAACACTGTACCATTCTGATACCATAATAAACTGGACCCTTTTTTATTGAAAACATTTATTATTGGGGATTAATTGGAACTAGCCTTGGGTGAACAAATCAATAACAGACACAGCAAAAAGCAAAAGCTGTATCTTCTGCCTGGAAATCGGCCGATCATTACATTTTCTGTTGGGTTTTATAAGCTGGATGACTTACAGTAGTTTGATGTCCGCGCCCTGAACTTACATAAAAAGCTGTCCGATTTCAGAACAGAAGGAACTTTTCGTGTCTTTTTTTGGGGTTTAAGGGACGGACGAGCACTTTCAAGAGCCCATAAATATTGAATGCAGGATAAATGCGGGCCCATTTGATTATGAGATGGAGGGTGTGTGAATGAGTTTAGCTGCACATGTCAGATACCAACAGAGTGCTCTGGAGTGTCTGGTGAAAGGATGCAAGGCACGGCAAAGTGGACCTAATTAGAGGGATTTGGAATGTATTTAAAAATGAATCACACTTTCCCGCGACACCAACAACAGTATTCACCACTTCTCTAAATGGGCAGCTGGCAGGCAGAGGGCTTGTCGGGTTGCTAAATACTCCCAGCAACATATGAATGGGAGGCCTGATTACTTTGTCACTAATGATTCATTGGCTTGCACATTTACACTGCGGCAGTGTAAATACCTCTGGGGACGGCGCTTCACTCTTTCACAGCCGCCTCTGGTTCTTCACTTCACTGTCCGTCTCATCATTATCGCTTCAAAAATCTTAAGCCACGGCAGCATTTGAACAACATGAAAATCTCTAAAATAACCAAACGTGTGTGTGTGTGTGTGTGTGTGTGTGTGTGTGTGTGTGTGTGTGTGTGAAGAAGCGGCAGCCCTAAGCCACTTCCATCAATATTTATCCCCATTTTGCCAAGTTTGCAGGTAAACACAAAGCTTTTTATGCTTCACATAAGATGTTACACATTCACCAATAAGCTAACCTGCAGGATATTACCTCCTCAAGCTGCCCTGATTTCTAATATTGAAGCCTTCTCGTTCCGTAGCAGTGGATCTTTCTTCTTTCTGATTGCCTCTCTTTTGCGCTGAGCAAATTTGCGATAAACCCTTACAACCTGAGGAATGTAATTTCAAGATCAGAATGGAACGTGATTAGAGTAAAACGGGTGAAGCCTTCAGTGATAGAGTACGTCTCGGAGATGGTATTGGGATGCGAAGAAACATCTTACAGGGGAGGGGGGGCGAAGAAAGCAGTCTGCTTTAATTGTGCGAAGCCAGCGTGAGAGATGTCGCTGTGAATTACGGCAACAGTAAACCACATGGGCATACTCAGAGAAAGGCATAAATTCAGACACAGATACACAAACATGTACACACTTAAGCATCATCCTCTGCATGTGAATTAAATCAAAAAAGAAGAGCAGGGGCTTCTAAACTTGTTTATATGCAGATTTTCCTATGTTGGGCTGATGAAAAACAGCAAATACATGGAAAAACACTTGTGCTATTTTTACCTTCAGACAAATACGGTGTGGGATACACGAAAGCTGTTTGCTCCCAACAGCGACTAATGCTGTCTTTGTTGGCTGCTCTCTTCACATTCACGGCTTTCCTTTACATAGATTTTGCAGGTAGCACAAAGACATAAAAGGAACTCATCTCAAGTCTGTAATACGCATGCTATTGTTCCACATAGCATGGTGTGTATCATTCCTCTGCTGTACGATTGCTCTGTCTGGATGGAATAAGAGGTTAATCTTCCCGTGAGAGGTGCAGTGACAGGTCGTGTTGGCAATAAAAGCCGCTTGGCACTGCTACCCTCACTCCACCACCACGGTTTGTAGAGTATTTCCAGGGTCTCTCTCTCTCTCTCTCTCATCTCCGTCACTTTCTGAGTCAGTCCAAAAGCATAAAGGAAAGCCGTAATTCATAAGTGGTCAATTGACGACTGATCTAATTTTCTTAAACAGTCTTCTTTCACGCCCCAGTCCAGATTGCTGTCTTGCCGTCTTGTTAAGTGGGCGAGCTGGCTGTAGTGATGAACTGTGTGTGTGTCAGACTCTGATAATTATGGGATGCTATGGGGAGTTCTTCCTATCTCGCTTGGGGAACGTGGCAACATGTCACCTTTGTTGGAACGGAGCAGCTGCTTGCTGTGTGAGTTAGACCTGGCAACCTAGAGCACCCCATGCTGCATGAGGGCAGATGTTTCAAGATTAGACTGCAGAGAGAAAGTTTGTGTGTGTGTGTGTGTGTGTGTGTGCTAGTACCATACTTACAACACAATTGGGTGACTTGGACTGATGCCTCGTGCATATTACAGCTTGACAGCAGATTTCCTAAACAAAAAACAAGAGCAAAGTCCTTCACATATGAAAAAATTCTGTGATTGTGTATAAAAATGATGTCGGTCAAAGTAGTGACCTTGTGCAGTGATACTCTGGAAGTCCTGTTGTCTAAACATGTCAAGCTCCATCCACGGTGGCCACTGCATCTCCTAAGCAGTGGTCAAGCAACCCTTTTCAATGAATTTCATTTTTTTTGGGAAGAGGAAAAGTTGTAGTGACCCAAATGTGATGGCCAAGCAGAGAGCGATGGTTGTGTTGTGTAGCCAGAAAAATGTGAGAAAACCGCATGTTGTGAGTTTTAATACCCACATGCCATTACACCAGGGCTTTACAATTCTCCCTCAGATGCCTCAGGACATTACAGTACAACTCCTGGAGCACAAACACCTGAATGTTGATTAAATGAGTAAGCTCCTGATGTGCTGCTGACCAGACTTTCTTAGTTTTGCCCATATGAAAACTGCTGTTTCTTCTCTTAGTGGTAGCTGTAGACCCACCTCTTGGTACTAGTAAGGTTGGCTCATCCTGGGCCTGTTGACCGACACAGAATGAGATGTTTGCTCTAAGCTCCCGTTTGAGAAATCACAAGTGCACACTAGTCAGTTGCTCTAAAAACACGTGTAACACAGGTCCCACCGTTGATACTGAGGTTGTCACTCCCAACATGTAACAATAACTGCCTGCACATGTTCTATGAGTGTGATTGTGAAACACTTACTTCAAAACCCCCACATGTATGCAGTTTACTGTCAACATTTTTTTTCTCTTTCTACCTTACAAAACCTTCACACAAACATTTTCTTCCTTCTCTCTCCAGCTGGTTGCCGTATACGAAGAGCAGGATCCACACAATGGAGGTGACGGTACAAGCGCCAGCTCCACAGGCACACAGAGTCCAGAACCCTTTGCCAGTGACATGAGTTCAGCGTCGGCCTTCCAGCCCTACCAAGCCAACAGCGAGATCGAGGTTACTCCGTCTGCGCTGCGATCCAGTGAGTCCAATGACAGGGTTAACCTGGACTGCTATGCACCTCCACTAATAGTTGTGACCTACGTTATCATTGTACACAGAACAAAAGCCTTTTTTTAAAAGCTCAATTCTGTTGCTTTTCCTACTATTAAAATCAGTTTCTGCTTTAAATTCTACAAGAAAAAAAATAAAAGAAAAAAAATGAATTAGGCCTTTTGTTGTGAACAAAATAGCCGACTACTTACTTCACCAGAGCATTGGGGAGCTTGAAGTGAATTTCCTACCTTCTAGCAAAAAGCAATTGACATTGTTGAGCGCTACAATATGAAATAGAAAGTGCAGTCTTCTGATGCAAAGAAGTGAAAATTTAGCATCAGTATGAGTAGTACCTTAAGGCCCACGCTGTGCTTTTTAAAAGAATGAGCAGGTATTATATGCCAACAGCAGGAATTCAAATGCGAGGCTTTAAAAGTCAGGAACATGAAAGCTGACATCTGAAAGCTAAAAGTTACTTGAGAAGCCAAGCATAACAAAAGGGAGGGAATGAAAACTGCTGTCTGGACTGATGCTTAAAGTCAACTGTGTGTACATGTGTCAGAGTTCAGCTGATCCAAATTACAGCCAAAAAAACACAGATCTAGCTCAGGTAAAGTTCTGTTTTTGTTCTGAATCGTGCAGTTTGTTGGAAAAAAGATGAAATGATTACAGGTTGCCAAAACATTTGAAATAAATTCTGGGAGACTTGTGTTAATGTGTTCGTAACAGATCAGTCTTATCGTACCCGACAAAACAAAAATGTAAAAAAAAAAAGTAAACTTTCTCTCCTCAACTCTACCACTACAACAAAGTGGCCGGAGTCTGTTTTATTTGACATGCTTCAGGTGTATTGTGTGGAGTTGAGTGTCTGTCAAGCCTGTGCAGCGTGTCCAGGGAATGGCATTGCACTAACTTAGACAGACAGGCCGAAACCGAGACAATGGAAGGAATTGAGACACTGTGGGATACTCAGTCATGCATGGGCAGCGGCACACATGCCAGAGCAAGGTGAACATGCGCACACTCACACATGGCAGTAGCGGCCAGAAGACGGCACACACAAGCGGGTGACTCAGACGCTGCTTATGTCCACATATTCATGGGCCATGAAGTGGAACCAGTGAGGTGATGCAGAGCTGTCTTAAACTTCAAACGACATCTAAGACGTTCAAAGATAAAACTCACGTACGGGCACGGGCTGACACACTCATGCACATGAATGAACAGTTGACTTTACTCTGCTACCTTGACGTAAGAGCTCATTCTGGCCTGATAGACTGTGGAGATTTATGGAAATTGTTCTCAGAAACGGTGCAATGGCAATCTAAAAGTGAACCAGCAGCACAGTGTGAAAAGCAGGCTTATTTGATGCTATCTGACATGCTGTCGGCTAAACTTCAAACAAACCAACATTTGAAAGGTGGATTTGGTTTCTGAGAGATATGTTGGTGCCGTTTATTCCCCGCACCAACAAAGATTGTGCAGTATTGATTTGTTGCTCTTTAAAGTGTTCACATGTGGCAAAAGGATGATTTAAAAATACCATCCACTGGACACACGGGCAGTGCTGGAAGCTTCTGTCTTTGAATAATGTAATGAATGACTTATTCCCAATTTGACCCCTTACCTGACACCCAGTGCTGCACGTTTGCATGGATGGTTAGTCTGTGGCCACGTTGGAAGCCTTAAGGCACAGTATTGAGTTGCAGGTCAGCCACATTTTGACAGCGCCCAGAGCCAAGTACACAATCACTGTGTTTAAGTGTGTAAAACGCAGGAAAACAGAAGTGAAGCATGCAAATACACTTAAGCCTGAACCACTCCACAGCCAGTATAGACAGCTGAATTGCTTGAAGTCGATGCATATGACGAGAAAAATGCTGTAGACACGCATTAAACAAGAGCTGTTGTGATCCCAGTTTGTGTAGTGGAAGTATGCAGTAAAATCATCAAACAGTAAGTATATCTTAAGGGGAAGCGCCAATGCTAAATAATGCAGGAGCCATCATACTGCGTGGATCGTGAATCAACCACTTAGAGAAGAATGTACCGTCTACTTTAAAGTACATGATCGCTTTAGGTTGTGGATGGCCATTGTTGTGCTTTTGCGGTACCTACATGTATAGTAGCTAAACATATACAATATCTACAGACACACAACTATGGCCAATCACAATAGTTTGATCATTACTGAGGTGCAGCACTGCTCGTTTACAAGTGCTTTTGGCAAAATAAAACTTAAATAAGGTTCTTCACCCAATTTTAGTGCATTTCCAAGAGGCAAAATATGATTAAAATTGTATCCAAGATGCCTCACTTGCTAAACATCTCCTCATTAGAATTTAGTGATGATCCACAAACACCAGATGTGCACGATACGGTACTTCTGTTCGCACTTGTAGTATTAGATTGGTATTGGTATGACCGGAGAGGGACTGTTTCACCATGTATAGATATCGAGTCTTGAATTTTAGTTGCCATGCTAGACTTAGTTTTAATCTGATATCACAACAAGGAGCTTATGAAAGCTCCGTCTACCCACACAGCCCTACTTATAAACCTGTCCCTTGCATTCTCTGAGAAAATTGTACATCTTAGATTGTGGCAGTATAAAAGAGCTGATTGCTTCCTACACATGGCATCTTGGTGACAGGTGTATCTATAGCTCTATGTTTTGTAGATAATGACTGTGATAAAGATAGAAAGGGTAGTCAGGTAGTCAGTCGGTAATGATAATGACATGTTTCCTTTCATGCTGGTAAAGTGCAATATTGCCAAATCGATACAAAAAAAAAGACATGTTTGTTCTTTGGAGACTATATATGATGCACTTCAACTCTTCCCTGTTCACAAGTTCCCGTTTCCACTCCCAAAGTACCTCAAAAGTTGTTTTATTTTAAGCGCTGGGCTGACTGGCATCACACATACATGGTCAGGCAGATGAGCGAGACAGACAGCCGATGGTCCCTCCAGAGATGCAGATGAGCGAATTACTGGCAGCAATATTGCATATCAGACATCAAAGTGTACCAGCGGCGCCCTTGGCAGCTGTGCTCTGAGGCAGAGAATTATGGCTATTTAAAATCATCATCTTTTAGAGCCATATTGATTGTTTTTTCCCCTCCTACAACTCCCAAAGTCCCAGACTCTACCTCTCGCTTTCTTTCTGCTCTCCACCCCATCCCTTGCCACCGTCTTGGGAGCGCGTTTTAGATTTCCATGCTAACATGTGCCATGCAGGTCAAACTGCTAATAATTGGATTGGAGATGAGATGTAAATTACAATAATGAATGTAATTTTCCCGTAATTATACGGATGCCGGAGCTGCCTCTGCCTCTACTTTGGACTAAATTCTAATCTTTCAGAAGTAAGAGAAAATGTCCTAAACTTTAAATTAACGCTGGATCGTAATGGTGCTGGCTTTGAAATTGAATTTTCGGTTCCGTGTTGCTGCAAGAGTTTCACTGGGGTTCATTTATCTGACCCATGAGATGACTTTAGTTGCATATTTCTTGCAGCGAGGTTGTTATTTGTCAAAGTTTTCCTGTGGAATAGAGGAACGGGAATGGATAGATGCTTGGGTGACAGAAATACTGCAGAAATTAGAAGCCTTTAAATACCTATTTGAGGCTACAATTAGCGAAGGAAGGATATTAGATGGCAGCTGTGCAAAAAGTCCACCGTAATGGCTTTAATTCGCTGCCTCTTCCACCTGCAGACTAACAGAGAGGAATAAACAGAGGAAGTCTTCTGGGGTTGGTGTCGTAAACAAGACTCAGCTTGATTGTCCAAATAAGAAAGAGCTGAGGTCACAGGTATATGACACTTATGAGCTGATGTCCTCTGTGTCTTAAGCATCGTGTTTCCTACGTGATTGAACCAGAGTCCTAATATTTCTGCAGCTTGAAGGACACTCTCAAGGACCAGTGTGAATTACCTTGTACACACACTTATATGTTTGCAATAAGTATTCGACGGATCACACCAACTCCCTTGGACGTCCCGTTGGGGTTTCTTCCTTGAACTTGACTTTCATGGATTACCACTTTTCCTTGATTATTACTTCACTGTGAAAGTTTTTTATTTTTAGGTTTTTTTATAGAAGCTCGATGGCAGTTGTTCAGGATACACAATCAGGAAATGGCAGAAGCTCAAGGGCTATTGACTGAGGTTAAAACTGCACTGACATTGATGTGGAGTAGCTTTAAAACACTAACAGAAGATCACAGTGATTGCAGCGATACTCACACAATTGACCCCCTGCTGGCAATCTTCTTTTGTGTGTGTGCACAGATCAAAGTAAAATATCTACGGATAACTTGTCATTTTTCCATTTACACCACTTTACAACTTTCAGCTCCAGCCAAATCACGCTTACAGTGTAATGACAAATTGTCCATTCCTTCAGTGCCCTGCTCCTCTGCTGAATCTCTTGAATCTCTGCCCCCTCGGTCCTTTAAGCTCTGTGGTGACAGGGTTGCTGGGACACCATTAGAGAGATTGCCCGTGGGTGGGGTGGGGTGGGGGGTGGTTTGACACCTTCAAAGAAGAGGGCCTTCATCTAATCAATTTGGCTTAGTGGTCTGCCACTGAGGAGGCTCCCTGCCACCAGCCAAGGCCATATAAAAGTCACTGCAGAACAGGAGACACAGCGCATAACGTCCAGTACAACTGTAAAATGCCTCATCAAAGTTTTAACACCACACAGCTGCTCAATTAACAACAACTGTTCACAGAGGCGCTAGTTCTAAAACAGTGCATGATGTATGCTTTAGCAATTTATTATTTTTTTTAAGATGTCCATCTCAGATTTAGGGCTTAAGGAAGTGAACTGGCCTTCCATCCTGGGCTCTCCCAATGGGTTTGGGTGACTTCCAAAGGCACAGATTGCCTATTATAGATAAACCACCAGGGTTAGGTTTGGAACCACATGCAGCTAGGTCTGATAGGAGGAACTGATACTTATCGCTCTCATCTGCCCTCTC